TTTGAATTCTCAAATAAATGCTTAGTTTCTGGACATTCTGTGTTCACTGCAGCACTTACTCAACTGTGACTTTGCAATATTTTTCTTGACTCAATAGCCAAAGTTTTCCTAATACAATGGTATAACAGGAAATAGCATCCTATTTCAGTATTCTTCTGCAGTTGTTGCTAAGCATGAGCACTGATGATGTTCAACTATTGTGAAAACCCTTTAAACTGCTGATAAAATGATGTCTCATGGTCACCTGATGAAAACAGATTCATTACCATGACTCCAGAAACTTTAGATCCCATGTAAGTGTTTCACTTCCTATACTAGTTCTTCTAAAAGGGATGATGATGCAGTTATTTTCTTACAGTCAACAGCTGCTCAATTAAGCTGTGACAATGTGGTTGGCAAATACTATAAATTAAAGACTTTTAAAATAATAGTTTAAGGAACTGAGAATCTGTATGAACTGTGAAGAAGTAAGTCACCAACATTATTTGCAGTGTTACTTGGAGTGTTTTCTAATCAAATTACACATCTTAGATTTCATTTACCACTACTAAATTAAGTTCTTTTTAGAGTGGATCTGACCCAAACCTCACTAAAGTCAGTGGGCTTTGGATTAGAGTCTGTAAGAGTGTATTAGTAGCACACTGTAGCTTAACTAATGACATGCTAATTTTATCAACAGCCTTCCTCAGTTTGATTTATCTGTCTTTTTTAAATGCAGTCTGTTTGTCTAGAATGTCAGTGTCTAATGAAGTTAGGTTGGAAAAATACTAAAAAGTGATACAGCCAAATAATAAAATATAAATCAGTTTAATTTCAATATGAAGAGAGTGAAGTGAAAGCCCATGTATAGCTAACTTGTGATTACCCAGGCACTGTGAAAAATGGATGAAGTAAAAATAGAATTATGAAATACCACGAAATTAGACTTCATGTGTGAATGATTATATTATAAAGCAGAGAAAGGTGCTCAACAAGTAACTGTATGTAAGTTAGTGTGGAATGGTACATTCACATCTTGCTAGAATGGATAATGTTGGTGTGTGTCTGGGACCGATATAAAATATTCTTTTCTTTCCTTTTAAACATATGTTGACTAAGTACAATTCTTACTTTAACATGCAGACTCCTACATTTTTTTTAGTTATATCCCCATTTATGTTTCTTTTTTTCCCCATTTATTTTCCAGCTGACTCATTTCAGACTTAGATGCTGAACATGTATTTATTTTGTGCTAAAATCTCAGACTTGTCTAGTTTGAAAAAGAATGGTCTGATCAGAATTGAGAATTAACTTCAGATATTAAGAAAAAAGTACATATACATGTACATTTTAAAACAGCATTCACGTGGAGGACCACTATGAAGATGTTGCATCAAATGCACATTAAAGAGTAGTTAGTTGTTAGTCTTGAGGGAGAGTGAGGAAAAGAGCAGAGGTAAGAAGGAATACTATAATATCACTGGTTTCCAGGCACCAAAATGTGACACAGCCACAGAACGTTTTCTCAGTATTTTCATATTGTTGGTGACTCCATCCTCATTTTGCTCTAAAAGCCTGTGCAGTAACTAAACTAAGCTCTGTACTATGGGCAAGGTTTACTTTGCATGGCCCTACTTAGTTTCCAGGAAGTAGTAAGGTGCCTGTCATATCTGACAGCACTCAGCTGGTGAAACAATAGTTTATATAAGATACAGTTAAATACGTCTTTTCATGTTCAAGCCAATATTCACTTATTTTAAACTCAGAGGCTTGTCTTTGTTCATTGAATATAGCAGTGATTTAATAGCACTCATATTTAACCAAATATACATGGTTGTAGTTTATCCTGCTTTGTATCATACAGATAAAGACTGATAGAAGTGTATAGCTCTGAACATACAGTATTTGCTGAACTAAAGAGTTGGGAAAGAGTGGAATTTTGGGCCATTAAAGAGGATCTGTTCAATGCCAAGATCCTTGGGTTGGTAAGGTCATGCAGTATATAAATTTCCCTTCTTTATTTTGACATTGCAATAGTGTAAAAGTAGAAAGCAGAGTAATTTAAGTAGTGCTACCATATTGCCGTGCCTTGTTGTAGTAAGGTAATCTTCAGTGGTGGCAAACAAGCTTACAAAGAGTTACTCCTTTCGTGGTATTGTCTGTAAGTCTCTGGTTCTTATTTTGCTCTATGTTAAACTGTCATGTAGTCACAGATCATGTCTCAGGGAATTTACAAGCAATTTAGATTACAGGAGTAAGTCTGACATGTCAAGGTTGAAAATAAAGCCCACGATATAAAAAAGCAATTGAACAAAAACACATTCTCACCTCAAAGAAGTGCAGAGTACTGAGTGTTTGTATGAAGTAGACTGCGTAACAATGACTGGTGATTGTAATTGGTTGCTGTGGGCATCCCAGCAGAGAGATAACTTACAGGAGGATTTGGAATAAAAAAACAGAATTGGTTTATAGATATCTTCAGAAAATTGCTAGAATTTGTCATTAGTTTTAAATCTTTATATGGATCTTTCAAAAAATTTTATTGAATATTTTATTTTGCGTTTATTGTTAGGTGAAAACAGAGGGTAATGTTTAGAGATTACCGTAAAAGACTTTAAAAAAAATGTTAAGGAAAATGTTTTTTTGCCTATGGATTTAGGCACCCTGATAATTGGCAGGAATTGTGATTTGATTTGTAGAATGTTTGGAGGATACAACTGGGAGTACTTGCTGATTATGATCTGAAAAGGTATTTAATTACAGATGCCCAGCATATTTTACATAGTTCAGAAAGTTCATTGCTAATATGAAGCTGTTTTTGTAGGGCTGTTAGAGATGATTCATGTGTTGTCGTCGTTTTAGAGAGGCCTACATTTTTAAGCATATAGGAACTGTTGGGATTTTTAGATTCCTATTTGAATTTTGGGAAGGAAAAACCCACTGATTAATAACACAAAAAATATTCTAAGTTCTGAAGTGAAGTGATATTCAGACATCGTTAGAACCAACCTTTTTGTTAAGAGTATCTTTTGCAAGAATCAAGAAATCTCACAGTATTTCTAAGCTGTATACCTAGAAAGTTGTTTAAAGCTCTGTTATTGATAGCCAATGTTGTGACAGGGTGAGGAAACTATTATTCATGTACTGCTATGAGACAGCATTCCCACTTCAAGCAGAGAAAATTAAGGTGGCAAAATATAATATCCAAATTTTTGAGTTGGCCAGGCCATTGAGTCTGTAACAAAGTGTTATGAATACCTCTGATGATCACAGGCTACTAAAACATAATAGAAACTTTGGTCTTCACAGCAGACTACAAATTCAAAGCTAGTTTAGAAGAACAAAATAATTCTGGAACTACCAGCAGCATTGCTTATCATGTTCCTTGGAGACTCATCTTTAGGCAAAGCTTTGTCTCACATTCCATTGCTCTTCCAGTTTGGTATTCCTCCTTTACACAGGGGTATTGCAAATAGTAGATTGTCAAACACTTTAGCTTAGTTTATTAAGAAGCAAAAGGTGGAGAACTTCAGTATCACCATTAACTCTCATTAGCTGTGATCTCTTAATATGGAGTGTTTTAAAATGATGCCTAAATAGTAATATAAAGCTGTGTCCACTCTTCAGAGAATACAGATGTTTCTGGAATAACTTCAGCTTGTATTCTCCTCCTGAGTATTTCTATTCCATGTAAGGATTGGTTTTGTCCTTAACACCAGACTTTATCTACATAAATAAAATTTGTGTAGATGCAAACTTTAAATTGATGCAAATGGTAGTTTCAGAATAGGCAACATAATGGTATTTAAGAGGGTAAGCTCATTCACTATGAACATCTACTTTATAGCAATGCCCACATCAAAATCTTCTCTGCTGCTGCTGGCTGTCATCATCTTGGTACTTGATTTTGAAAAACTACTTCTTTCACTTTGGATTGCCACACAGATGCCATGGTTAGACCTTGATGAGCAAGTGACATGCTCATTTCTGTAATTTGACCATCTGCAAATCAGTTCAATGATTCTGAAGATTAGTTTCCTTGTCTTTTCAGTAACAGTTTGGACCTCTTTAAAAAGCCAATATTGTACACATTTAAATGTTAAAGTGGTAAGATATTGGTCTTATATTAAAGTACAATGTTTAAATGTGATGCTATCATCTTACTATTGTGATGAAAAACAGCAAGTTTTTTTTCAAATGGTAGTTCCGTTGTGGGCTGCATGATGGAGGTTCCCATGTATTTAAGGTGAGTATTCCAGGCTTTCCTCCAAAGGGAAAAGACTATCAACGTTCTGTTCTGTGAGAACTCAATCTCCCTTGGTTTTATTTTCATGTTTATAGCAGCATCTTATAGAAACTTGCAAGCCATACAGAACTAGAGAAAGAAAGAGTGAAATCAAAAGTGGCAGGGTTGTGTAGCAGGCTGTGGAAGGTGATTGTTCTATGAGGGAAGCAGCTTTGGGGTAAGCTTTCACTCATAGAACCATGGCTGAATAGCAGGGGTGTATGTTTAACTTTAAAAATTGCAAATAAACTCCAGATCATAAGCATGAAAATGCACTAATGTACCATTAATATTGTAAGGAACAGATTGCACCTGAACAACTAATGGGATTGGATTAATTATGCTGCTACCTAAACAGAAGGAAAATCTGCTACTGAATACTTGTGTATTCTGGAGTTTCCCTCTGTGACTTCCACAGGAAACTTCTTCAATATGGTTCCATGCAAAATAAATTCTTAGGCCTCTCTTTGTTTGCAGCTGTCTTCAGCCAATCTATTAGTATTTCTGGACTAGAACAAAAGAATATTTACAAATACTTCCCCACTAAAGAAATGAATAGCATAAAGCTTTATTTAGCTAATAAAAAAAGATGGGATACAATTCTTGCATTCTTCCTTTGATATAAGACAAAATTTGATCTGGGGAAGTTCGAGCTAGCTGGACGAGGTGGCGATAGTATTAGCAATGGAGGAAGCTACCCTCGGGCCGTAGGTACACCACCTGGTGACCCCCGGCGATGCGGGTCGCTACCGGAGCGGGGCGGGGGCCGCTTCTGGCGGGAAAGGCTTCAGCACCCGGCCCGGCTGGGACAGCGGCTCCTGTCCTGGGCCCTCCTGTGAAAGGGCGGGCTTCTCCGCGCCCCACAGGCCTGCCTTCCGCTGCATCCGAGCCCAACGCGACCGGCCGCTGCAGACGTGGGAATCGAGTAATGCTGCTCGATTTCTTCCTCCCTGATATAGTTGAGGTGACCAGTCCCCCTCTTCCAAGACAGAAATGGAAAGCAGTGTTGGTTCATTTCAGTTCTGCCTAGTACAGAGCCATACTGCTTCCTTTGAGGAAACTCAGAAGAACCCCTTTCAAGGGTCATTTGCTGTTTGTTTTTATAGTGAATTACCCTTCATACGCATTTCTAATAGCTTCTTGATAATTTCTCTAATTTGGGAAGTATACTTTTAAAGACTTTTGGTGGCATGTTTATTTTTCTTAAATGCTTGTGGAACAGAAACACAATCTCATGAGGCATGTGTGTCTCAAATGGAATTAGTATGGTCCCACAGTGTTAATTATGTTCATCCATTATGTCTCTGAATTTTTTCTCTTCTAACTTTAACAATGTAGTTTTAGAGGAGAAACTATTTTGAAGAACCTTGCTTTCCAAGTACACATTGTAAATTTCAATAGGATATGAACATATGGAAAACGTAATAGGCGATTTATCCTTCCCTCTTCACCTTCCCACATATGCAAATGAAAAAAAGGCAAATAGAAACAGAAATCTATCTCTGAGGTTTTTTGCACCCACATTCTTAATAACAACCTTGTACTTTCAGTCTGAATTTTTTTTTTTAATGAGATCTGAGAAATTTCAGCCATGGATAGTGGAGTTTACAGATAGGTGCTGGAAAGGTGATGGCCTCTTTGATTGCTGGCTGTGAGAAGAAATCTCAATTAGTGTGAAAGATGTTGAGAATTCTACTATTGAGTGACTGAAGAAAATATTTTTTTTTAATGCTGTATACGTGCCTTTTAAAATGGTATGTGTTACTGCTAGACATAGAATGAGAAGATGAGACAGTTTGATACTCTGTGCACTCTCTAGATGTAAGTGTGTGAATGGTAAAGCTCCTGATTGATCTAGCTGGCATCTTTTTTTCCCTAACGGTTTCACAGTGCTCTCCTCAGTAAACTGTGACAGCAGTAGGGCTTTATTTAAAATGAAAAAAAAAGTCCAACTGGTAGTAACAGCAGACTTTCGAGTGATTTTTAAGTAAATTAGCAACAGTAATTTACAGCAAAAATTTTTTTGTAAATTTTTTGTAGCAAAAATTTCCTAGAAGTCAGCAAATCAGAGATTAAAGGCATTCGTGTCCTGGAGCTGTGTTAATAGTTACAGTTATAATAAAAATTAGAATAATACATCTGATGTGCTCAGAGGATACGAGTGATATTACCATAGTTTCAGAATGTCTTGCTTTTTAATGATGGTGATGTTTGTTATTTTTAATGTCTTGATTTTTTTTTTCAATATACTTTACCTATCTAAACAATTTAAAGGAAAGAAAAAGTAACTTTTGTGAAATATGAGTCCTCTGTTTACTTTTAGAAAAGCTTTTTTAAAAAGTTACTTATTAATTACTTTTATAAAAAGGGTAAAGATGTAGGTATATGTATGTTGTAATACTAATTTTAAGAAACTTAAATCTCAATGCTTCTAATATTGGTGTTCTGGCATTCATTGTGAGTATAATAGGTTATTTCATGCTGCTTCTCTTTATATTCATGGTTATGATACAGAAATATTAAGACCACACACAGACAACAAGGTCTCTAGCCACTTACGCATGTAAACAGTCTGGCTTTTTACAAAGTGGAAAAATATTTCTTGTGCAGTATTTTAACATGATCAGCATGTTGAAGCTCAATCTGCAACTGTGTCAACATTTGTTTGACTGTAACCATTAATTCTGTAGCCTCTTGATAATATGTGAAATGTGAAACTGGTTTGTTTACTACTGGGATTTGTCAGCAATTACTGTCTGCATTTAACTTTGAGCTTTCAAATAGATAATAGATCAAAGAATTACTTTGCATCATCACTCTGGTTTTAGAAAAACAAAGGATTTGTGGTTTTTTTTTTTTGGCTGGCTTTGGGCTTTTTAAAGGGACATTGGAGCAATAAATTTCATAAATATTGTTCTTATACCTGTTTGATGTTAGTAGGCAAAGGTACTTTAAATAAGATTCTGTAACTACTATTCAACATGAATTTAACTATAGAGACAGGAATGTACACCTCTCTCAGGCCTCGGTTGTCAGGAGACCTCCTGGCATGGCTTCAACATAATATTTTTGTTGTTGTTGGTTTTTTTTTAATTCATGTTTTGAGCATTCCTATTTTACCATTAGGAACGGCAAGTGCAGTGGTCATGTGCAATATTATGTAAGCACCATATCATCTTCATCATAAAGAATCGTGAAGACTACAAGTTCTTATAGACTGTTCTTAATTTGTTTATAGTGTGAAGCTAATAAGACTAAGATGTCATAGAAGCATTTTTATGGACAGTATATCTAGTCAGATAACATATATTAGGTTTTATATAAGATTTTTTTTATCACTGTTCTCAAAGTCTTTATTAATATAGTTATTAATTTAGTTTCAGTATGTATTTGAGGTTTTACAGAAAACAAAAGAAAAACAAACCCCAAAACTTCCTAGATATGTCTACGGACTTTGGTAAGGGTTTTTTTTTTGTTTACTTACAAGTAGGTTGTATTATCCCTAACTAGAATTTGCCACTGCTCCTGAAGTTGCCATTAATTAAGTCTGTGATCTCAGTGGCACTTTTGTTAAAATATTTCACCTGAGCTTTTCTGAGTTTGTATAAATCTAAAGTGTTTGTTTTCCTATGAGTATTTAAGAGATAAAAATAACAGGAGGTTATGTAATGTACACCAATCCTTAAGGCTGCCACTTTAAAAAACTGAAAATACAGACAGAATTGCTATATGGATGAGCTAAGTTAGTGGGGGAAATTCAGTTTTAGGAATAGTCGGCTGATAGAATAAGCTGTTTATATGAAACTCTTCAAAGCAAACCTGTATTTTAAAAATAATTGCTATAAAGTATTTAATAAATGTCACTATAGGAGGTTAGTAAAGCTATCAGTTTGTAGATCACTGTCTTCATTTTTAAGACTTAAATGCTCTTTGCTTAAATTTTGTTACCATTACTGAATACCAGTTTGTAACTGGTAAAATTTGAGTAAGTCTCTTGCCCAGTAAAAACCAAACATATTCTTTCCCCAGACAGCATATGAACAAAGAGAGTCGTGTGTTTCATCATTCCTGTTCAGCTCTCTGGCCCAACTTCATTTCCTTTGATGGAAAAATGATAAATATAAATTACAAAGTGAAGCAGCTAACGATCTTTATCTGTTGGTTAAGACTAAATTTTGAATACTAACTTTGTTTTCCAAGATTTTAAACATTTGACTTAAATTGTGAATTTTGTGGAAAGAATTTGTTTCGGGTAGTAGTTGGAACAGAAGATTTTTTTCAGAACCAGTAGATCTTTTAGCTGCATGTTATAGCATAGTAAAGGAGCTCCTTCAAAACTGTTCCTCGGTTTGTTTTGGTTTTGTTTTGTTTTGTTATGTTTTTTCCCCAATGACAACAACATTTGACCTCTTCAGCACTATATATACTGTATAGTGTTTATGTAATGTTTCTATATTAATACATATATTAAAGTTAATTTTTTACTTTTTCTCTCCAAATGGTAAATTTTGGACATACATACCAACTATGTTTCATAGTCTTTTAAGTGGTAACAAATCAGAGGCTTTAAGAAGTAACAGCAATTGTAAGTTGAGTTTTGTGATGAGCCATTTGTCATTGGTTTGGAAATCTCCCCACAAAGTTATACACATCTGGGAAAATCAGTTTACATTTATTCAGTAAGTTCAATTTTTAGATAAGAAAACCCTCTATTGAGGGTGAATCTCCTGTGATCTTTGTGATCCCTTCTGGACTGAAGATTAGAAGGGTGAAGATGGAGTCTGCCTAATCTGAAAGTAGAGAAAAGGTGGGATGACTTAATTAAACAAAACAAAAAAACCCAACAACAACAAAAGGCAGACAAACCCCAAACTGCTTAAGATCCTTATTATTTTTGGAGCAGAAACCTGGGGCATGAGAATGGGCTACAAGGATTTAGTAGTTTGGGTGAGGAACAGAGACCAACTATTATGAGAGCAGTGAAGCAGG